TCTCTCCTCACCCAGGCTCTGGCCCATTAGTGGTACTTGAGAAGACAGAATAATGCTCTGAAAATTAATAATTCCATCGGCCATATCCCTTTTATACAAGTTTCTGGAATCATGTGTGCAAACATACTTCTGAGCTGCATAATTCATGGCTACACTATTTAAATAAGCATGAGGGAAATAATAGCGGTAAGTCCTCTCAAACAACGGAACCTAACACTGAAGCTAGGTTCTACAAGGGCCCAGGCCAGTATGTGAACATCTGATTGAAAATATGGGTATAATGTATCTCTTTAGTAACATTGTTTACTTCATCTTTTTATGTTAAAATCCTTTGAATTGTTGCCTCTTGAAAAGTGAGAATCAGGTCAAAAGAAATGACCTGTGAAATTACAGATAGATACAAATAATCTCAATATATGGAATGTACACCCAGAATATCCTGGTAATGATTGCTTTAAGAAATGGTATACTGATTTTTACTTGCCAAAAGACACTGACTCCTTTATTTTCCTCCACTAATGATAGTCGAATGTCTGTCTCCTTCCTACTAGTCAGTCTTGGTTAGAACATCAAAGAGTTTCTCTTCAATGGAATTGTTTATATTTTCCTGACTCACAAAGCCCTGGTATCCCCAGTCCAGATAAGTTATTATTAGGAATGTCTTTGGTCATGAGCACTGAAATCAAATGCATGCTCAGGTTTTACAGCTCCTGAATAATTTACTCTGATATTTGAGTCCTTGTTGTTGGCTGTCATTGACCTATTCCTTCTTAAGTCTATGCACCTCCTGCTCTAGTTCTCGTACTCTTCTTAGGAGGTTTTCAGTCTAGTTTCGGTCTTTGTCAATTTCATCCATGATATGACAACCTCAGGAATAAGCAAATCGTATAGGTCCACTCCATCTTCTAGTCATTAATCATACCTGTAGCCAATTCTCTGATTGGATTGTTCTGTGCCTTTATACTGTTGAATATGGAGAGTTCTTTACATATTCTAGATACAATACCTCTGTCAGATATGTTATTCTCATTTTCTCGTAGTCTACAGCACGTGTTTTCATCCTCCCTACAGGGCCTTTCACAGATCAAAAGTTGTTAATTTTGATGAAATCTACTTTATCAAATTTCTTCTTTCATGAATCGTGCTTTTGGTATCAAGTCTAAGAACTCTTCACTGGGCCTTAGAGACCAAATATTTTCTCTACAATTTTATACTTTTACATTTTACATTTCAATCTGCCATCCACTCTAAGTTACTTTTTATATAGGGTGTGAGATTTGTGACAAGGTTCATTATTTTGAATATGGATGTCTAATTTCTCCAGGATCATTTGTTAAAAATACTATTGTTCCTCCAATGAAATGCTTTTGCATTTTTGACAAAAATAGTCAGGTATATTGGTTTAGGTCTATTTCTTAGTTCTCTATTCTGTTTCATTGACCTATGTGTCCATCACTTGGCAAACACTATGCTCTCTTCATTACTCTGGCCATATATTAAGCCTTAATATGAAGTAGGGTGATTCTTCCTGCTTTATTCTTGTGCTATCTTTGTAGTTTTGCTTGCAAGGTGATATTGAACTCATAAAATGAGATGCAAAATGTCCCATTCTCTTCAATTTTGTGATAGAAATTGTAAGTTGGCACTAACTCTTTTTTAAGTATTTGGTAGAATGTTCCAATGAAACCATATAGGCCTAAGTATTTCTATTTTAAAAATACATTGTATTAGTCCATTTTCATGCTGCTGATAAAGACATACCTGATATGGTTTGGCTGTGTTTCCACCCAAATCTCAACTTGAACTGTATCTTCTGGACTTCCCATGTGTTGTGGCAGGGACCCAGGGGTAGGTAATTGAATCATGGGGGCCGGTCTTTCCTGTGCTATTCTCATGGTAGTGAATAAGTCTCATGAGATCACATGGGTTTATCAGGGGTTTCCGCTTTTGCTTCTTCCTCATGTTTTTCTCTTGCTGCCACCATGTAAGAAGTGCCTTTTACCTCTCACCATGATTCTGAGGCCTCCTCAGTCATACGGAACCATAAGTCTAATTAAACATCTTTTTGTTCCAGCCTCAGGTAAATAAGTATTTAACAAACTGTGGTACATCTATACCACAGAATATTACTTACCAATCAAATAAACAAACAAACAAAAAAAACAACTATAATGCACACAGCAACTTGAATGGGTCTCAAGATATTTATTCTGATTTAAAAAAATTATCTCAAAAGTTTACATAGTGCATTATTCAATTTATGTGACATTCCTATAATGATACAATTAGAAAGATGAAGAAAAATTTACTGAGTTCCAGGGATGGGGAAGGGGAAGAAGTGGCTGTGGTTATAAGTAGTTAGTGTGAGGGTTCTTCATGATGTAAATTTTGTGTATCCTGACGACAGTGGTAGTTATGAAAAATCCTATAGGTGATAAAATTACATAGAACATAACACACACATACCTACACACACATTTGTGCATGTAAAACTAGTGAAATCTGAATGAGGTAAATGGATTTTATTGATGTTGATCTATTAATGTGATACTGTACTATGTTTATAGCAGACATTACCATCAGGAGAATCTGGGTGAAGGGTATAAGGCATCTCTCTATTTCTCCCAGTTGCCTGTAAATCTACAATTATCATGAAAAAATAAAATTCAAGTTAGTTTGGGGTATCATTTTAGTGCTGATAAACTCTCGATAAAATAATAAAAACTAACATAAAAATATAATACTGATGTATGAAACAACATTAATGACACTCAAAATTATGCTGAATGGAAGAAGCTAGATAAAATTAAGTACATAAGCTGATCCCATTAATCTGAAACTCTAGAATTGTAAACTAACCCGTAGAGACAGAAGGCAGATCAGTGATTGGGAATTGGGAAGAAGTGGGAGGAAAAAACACAAGGTGGCAAAAAAAAAAAAAAAAAAAAGAAAGAAAACACCCAATGTGGTGATGGATAATGTTCTTATTTTAATTGTGGTGATGGTTTCACAGGTGTGTATGTGTCAACTCTAATTAATTGTATATTATAGTCAGTTATATCTCAATAAAGCTGTTTAAAACAAAACCAAAAGATGCCAGACACTAGGACCAAAGTGTGAAGTATTTGAAGAAAAAAAGTGTTCTACCTTTGACATAATTAGTGTATTTAAAACCAAATGGGAAATGCTTTTTAATGCCCCCTCCTCAGTAGAACATATTTTCAGTAATAATCATAAATTAAAACAAGAAATAATAAGGATTAATAAAGAAATATGGTGTGTTTCTAGTGAGCATTATACATATATGTATTAGTAAAAGTAAAATATAAAATGGTATTTTAAGAAAACTAAAAATCATGCAAAATGGACAAATTAGTCAATTAATAAATTATCCAAATATGTAACATTTTATTTCCTTGAATTGGTCTGTAGTTTTAAAATAACTATTAAACAATTAAAGAAGAATAAATTTTACTTTTAAAGATATAGTTCAAATTTACAAAGTATTTTTTGTTTAAATGAAGCAAAGATTTGAACTTCTCAAACATTTATACCTTGTCATTCATACTTTGTTTCATTAACTTAGGCATCATCCAAACTAGTGGTCACATGGAAAGACAGCACATGAAAAACTCAGATTATTTATTCTTTTATTTTAAAATCAATCGCTGTACTATTATTGTTTTAGAAATATTGTTTAAATGCTGGTGTATGTGTGTCATACAGGACCATGGATTATGGCTCAAAGTGCACTGCAAGAAATACCAGATCCTTAGGAGCTTGCTTTAGAAGGAAAAAGCAACTGAGTCAGGTGATATCTGAGGCCAATGGTATAACAGGAAATTATCTGCATTAATTTCCTTGTAGAATACAATAAGTCTTCATTAAAATATAATGAGAAATTATGCTGTTTTTAGACCACTCCCATAGACACATGATTAAAACATATTGACCACAGCAATCTTTTAAAAAGTAAACCAACAAAACAAAGTATTTTTGGGAAGGAAAGATAGTTCTAAGAAGCTGGACTAGAAAAAAAAAAAAAAAAAGAGTACATACCTTATGATTCTATTCTTATAAACCTCTAGAAAATGGAAACAGATAGTGAACAAATCAGTGGGTCTTTTTTAGAATGATGGTGGAGGTAAGGGCAGAGAAGAATTGCCAAAGGGCATGAGAAAACTTCAGGGGGTAATGGGTTTGTTCACTCTTATAGTTGTGATGGTTTAACAAGTGCAGATGTGACAAAACTCATCAAACTGTATACTTTTTCAGCATGTGCAGTTTGTCATATGTCAATTATACTTCAGTAAAGCTGTTGAAAAATGATATTCTCTTTAGGGATAAAAACAACTTTGGAAAAATAAAAATAAAAGATGGAGAGAGAGAGAGCTATCTTGTTTTAAAATTCTGTGTAGACACTGCTCTCATTCACTGCCTGCACTAGAGGTAGACCACTCCCATTACCCTGCTCCACCCTAAGCTTCTTAAGAAGGTGAGCTAGTCAGTGTTGGATTTGTGGCATCTAGTAACCATTATTTCAGTCCTTCAGGTGGTGCTGGTAACTTTTAGAGATGTTTGGCCCTTTGAAAGGCATTTGGTTGCTTATATCATAGGGTGGGGTGTATCTCATACCTACCATTATGAGGTAGATGGCCTGCAGGTTATTTGTCTATTTTGGGGGATAGTACTGCCACCCACACACCTCAGCCCATACAGGTTCTGACAATCAATACACTGAAGTCGCGCCCCTCTTTCCCCACCAAAACACACACACGTAGAAACACCAACCCCCTTTACTCTGTGTGTATTAAAGTTTTCAGGAAATTTATCTTCAGTGCCTAGTCCTGAGGCAGACCTTATCCCCCAGTTTCCAGCTGTGGACCTGTTGGTCTGGCCTCAAACCCCACAGAAGCCACCTCCCTGCCTTCTCACACACACCTCCCTCTTCCTGTCACTCCTTCCTTCCCCACCATCAAAGAACTCACAGAGACATATCCTTTGGATTCAGGTTGATTTTATTTTCATGGTTTTAACCTGTTGGTGTAGAATTCACTGTCTGTATGTTTGATGACTTTTCAGTGGCAGACCTCTAGAGACATCACACAGCTGAGGTCTCTCTTCTCCCTTTGAAATTATTGGCTGCTCGTGTCATCACTTGAAACGGTGGCGTTCTCCACCGTCTCTTGGTCTTTGCCGGCCTCTTCTTTCTTCATTTGTTCTTTCAGCCGGCGGTAGTGACCACGCGGTATTGTTCCTCTAGCTTTCTTAGGTTTTCCTCTAGGGGTGTTACTTTCAGAGGCTTTTTTGCTGGTGCTCCCTTGGAGGGGTCTTTTCGCCTTCATGGTGGTCTTTAGGCCCTATAGGGAGATCACAGTCAGGCCAGAGGGCATTAGTTTTGGAAAAGAAGGTGGGAAATGCATAGGACTGGGCTTCATGAGAAGGGGGTGAGTTGAGGAGGGGGTTTGTGTGAGGCAAGGAAAGGATAGGAGTCTTGGGGTGGCGGAATCAGTGGGGCAAAGAGAAGGGGCTTGGGCAGGATCATCTCACCTTAACGCCACATCTGGACCTTCGTTGACAGGGAGTCTTCCCCTTCTTCCTCCCTTTGGTACTTGGGGTTGGTGGGGTCTGTTTGTCCACACCTTCATTAGGCTCCTGTGGTTCACTGGTCACCTTTGCCATGCTGAAGTGTCCCAGTGGTCTACTCAGAGCTCTTGATCATCCAATGTATACCCCTCCCAGCACAATGAGGGGCCACACCCTTCAACTTTGATTGGTCAGCAAGGCACTCTCCCAGCCAATGAGAGCTAAGGGACACTAAGACATCACAAAGCACTACTCTTGTCGCCTCTATGTGAGAGAGGGGTGGGGAGGTACCTGGGGAGTCTTAGTCATCAGAATGTACCACTCCTGCCACCTCTGTCTTGGGGGGGTGATATAAAGGCAAGGATAGCCTGGTGGTAGAAAAGAGGCTTTTCTGTAACAGCCTCTTCTATGCCTTCCCAACATGAACTACCATCCCTCCTCATATACCCATGTTCAATTGTGGTGGCCCACATAGCAGTTTCCTTTCATCTATTCCCCAAGGCCACACCTACTCATTGGTTTATTCTGCAGTCTCCCTCCCTAAGTCATTAGCTGTTATTTTTGATATTTTACCAAAAATCCCTCTTAAAAAAATGGCTATATTTCAATGTCGGTGGAGAAGTGAGTAATTCTACAAACAAAAGACAGTTCCCACAAAAAAAAATCTTTCTACCTATCACATTTGGCATTGAAAGCAGCTTATTTTCATTAATTTCTGCTAGCCCTGCAATTGATAGAAAGGGATTAGAATTAACTGTCTATTTATGAAGGTTGCTTTTATCGTTACTTTTATCCTATTCTTGGACTCTAACCACATTATCATTATTGATTTTTGAAAGGTTATTTCGCTATTTTATTGGATTTTTCTTTCTGTCTTCCTAGTTTCTCTTACTAATTTCTTTCCCACCAAAAGGCACCTACATGTGACACACCTGATGTGTTTGAATGATTTTCTTTCATGTTTTTATTCTTGATAAACATATGGCTTTGTTAAACATGTGCATGTGTGAAAGTGTAGCATTGTACTTAAGCTGCTATATGCATCTCTTCTTCATTGCTTTTAATGTTGCATTGTGCTTGTTCCTTTTCTTTTTTTTTTTTATTTTATTTTTTTTTGAGACGGAGTCTCTCTCTGTCACCCAGGCTGGAGTGCAGTGGCCGGATCTCAGCTCACTGCAAGCTCCGCCTCCCGGGTCTACGCCATTCTCCTGCCTCAGCCTCCCCAGTAGCTGGGACTACAGGCGCCCGCCACCTCGCCCGGCTAGTTTTTTGTATTTTTTAGTAGAGACGGGGTTTCACCGTGTTAGCCAGGCTAGTCTCGATCTCCTGACCTCGTGATCCGCCCGTCTCGGCCTCCCAAGCTTGTTCATTTTCTTCCCCCTTTGAGTGTAACCTATGTTGACGCTGTTCCTTACTGCTACTAATGGTGCCGCTATGAGCCTTGTTAGTAGCTCATGACCCTTTATGGAATTCTGCCCATGTTTCTTTAAGGTGTATGTTCAGGAATAGAATTTCTAGGTAATAGACATACATAATTGTCTTAGTCATTTCAGACTGCTATAAAAGAATGCTATAGACTGGGTAGCTTAAACAATAAACATTTATTTATCACAGCTCTAAAGGTTGGAACCGAAAAATCAGGGTGCCTCTGGTACCAATTTACTGTATTAGTCCATTTTCATGCTGCTCATGAAGACATACCCGAGACTGGGAAATTTAGAAAATAAAGCGGTTTAATAAGCTTACAGTTCCTCGTGGCTGGGTGCCTCACAATTATGACGCAAGTTGAAAGGCATGTCTCACGTGGTGACAGATAAGAGACTTATTAAATTACAAATTCATTCTCTTTGTTGGTTATAGGACAAATTATATCACCTATATAATGTTATTAAATTTATTTTTGGCAGTTTGTGTTTTTTTTAAGGAATTGATCAATTTTTTCTATATTTTTGTATTCATGAGAATACAGTTGTTCACAGTATTCTCTTATTATCTATTTAATACCTGCAGAATCTGTAATGCTATTTCCTGTTTCATCCCTGATATTGTTTATTTGTTGTCTTCTTTTTTTTTTTTTTTTTTTTTTTTTTTGAGACGGAGTCTCGCTCTGTCCCCCAGGCTGGAGTGCAGTGGCGCGATCTCGGCTCACTGCAAGCTCTGTCTCCCGGGTTCACGCCATTCTCCTGCCTCAGCGTCCGGACTAGCTGGGACTACAGGTGCCCGCCACAGCACCTGGCTAATTTTTTGTATGTTTTAGTAGAGATGGGGTTTCACCGTGGTCTCGATCTCCTGACCTTGTGATCCACCCGCCTCGGCCTCCCAAAGTGCTGGGATTACAGGCGTGAGCCACCGCGCCTGGCGTGTTGTCTTCTTTTTTTTAAGCTGTCAGTTGTGCTAAAGTTTTACCAATTTTGTTGACGGTTTTAAAGAATAGCTTTTGGTTTAATTGATTTTCCTATTTTTGTCCTGCTTTTCATTTCATTGATTTTTGTTTTTATCTTTATGATTTACTTCCTTCTGTTTGCTTCAGGTTTATTATTCTCTTCCTTTTCTATATTCTTTAGGTAAGAAATTAGATCTCCAATTTGAGACATTTCCTTGTTTCTAATGTTAGCATTTAATGGCATAAATTTCTCTCTCAATACAACTTTAGCTGTATTCCACCTGTTTTAACATGTATATTTTCATTTTTATGTAGTTCACATATTTTTTATTTCCCTTGAGACTACTTCTTCACCCATTAATTATTATAAATTATTTAGAAATGCATAATTTAATTTCCAGTTGTTTAGTTTTTTGTATTTCATTATAGTTGCTTCTTTGATTCCATTTTGGTCATAGAATGTGTTGTCTACACAACACATTTCAATTATTTTAATTATTTATCAACAATTTCAATTATTTTAAATTTGGTAAGGTTTGTTTTATAGTCCATCACCTGGTCTATCTTGGTACATGTTCTGTGGACACAGGAAACAAATATATATTCTGCTGCTGTTCAAGGAACTGTTCTATATGTGTCAATTAGATACTGTTGATTGTTGCATTGTTCAGTTATTCTATTCTTGAGGATATTATGTCTACTACAAGTTCTGTCAGTTGCTGAGTGTTTAAATCCAACTGTAATTGTAAATAAGTCTATTTCTTCATTCATCTCTGTTAGTTTTTGCTTCATGTATTTGAAAGCTCTATTGTTTGGTTGCTACGCATTCAGTATAGGTATATATTTGTGGTGGATTGATACTGGTAATAATCATGTAAAGTCCTTCTTTGCCTTTATTAATTGTCTTTGCTGTGATATTTACTTTACGCCATATTAATATAACTATTCCTACTTTTTATTTTTAATCGTGGTAAAATACACCTAACATCAAATTTCTATCTGAACCAATTTTTATTGTATAATATTGTACAATTGTGTTAAGTATATTCACACAACAAATCCAAGAACTGTTGTCGTATTGCAAAACTGCAACTCTATTCCCATTACACAACTCCTCAATTCCTCCTCTTCTAGACCCTGACAACCACCATTCTACTTTTTGTCTCTTTGAATTTAATTATTCTAATTACTTCACATAATTATAATTTTACAGTATTTGTCTTTTGGTGACTGGCTTATTTTATCTATCATAATGCTCTCAAGGTTAATTTATATATAATGCCAGAATTTTATTCTTTGAAAAGGCTGAATAATATTTTATTGTATGTATATACTTCAATTTGTCTATCCATTGATGAACCCTTGTATGCTTCTATTTTTTGCTTATTGTGAGTAAGGTTGTTATGAACATGGGTGTACTGATGTATCTTCAAGACTCTGCTTTTAATTATGTTGAGTATATACCCAGAAGAGGAATTGCTGGCTCATGTGGGAATTCTGTTTTTACATTTTGAGGAACTACCATACCATTTTTCATAGTTGCCACACCATTTTACATTACTACCAACAATGCACAAATGTTCCCCTTTTTCTACTTCTTCACCAGCACTTTTTATTTTCTGTTACTTTGATAGTAACCATCCTAATGGTTGTAAAATGGTATCTCATTGTGATTTTTATTTGTATTTACTTAATAATTCGTACTGTTCAGAATCCTTTAATGTGTTTATTGGTTGTTTGTATATTTTCTTTCCAGAAATGTCTATTTAATTCCTTTGCCTGTTTTTAAGTTAGGTTGTATTTCATCGTTAAGTTGTAGCTCTTTTCATATTCTGGATATTAACCACTCATCAGTTATATGCTTTGCAAATTTTTCCCCTATACAGCAGGTTGTCTTTCACTCTGTTGATTGTGTTCCTTGATCCACTTAAGATTCTCAACTGTCATACACTCAAATGTATCTATTTTTTTTGTTGTCCATTATTTTTGTGGAATAGCAAAAAAAAATTCATATCTAATAACAGGAAGCTTTTCTTCTATCTTTTGTTCGAAGGGGTTTACAGTTTTAGCACACACATTTAAATCTTTCATCAATTTTCAGTTGATTTTTGTATATAGTAAGGGTCCAATTTCATTCTTCTGCATGTGAATATCCAACTTTCTCAACGTCATTTATTGAAAAGACTGTCTATCCCCATTAAGTGGTCTTAGCACCCTTGTCAAAAATAACTTGACTGTATATATGAAAGTTTATTTCTGGCCTTTCTATTCCATTTCACTGGTCTATGAGACTGCCTCTATGCCAATACCACACTGTTAAATTACTATAGCTCTGTAGTAAGTTTTTAACATGAAGAAGTGTGACATCTCCAGCTCTGTTTTTCTCAAAATTGGTTTGACTATTAAGAATCCCTTTAGATTCCATATAAATTTTAGAATAAATTTGGTATTTAAAAAATCATTGGAAAATTTGATAGGAATTACACTAAATTTGTAGATCTCTTTTGCTGGCATTGCCATCTTAACAACATTAATTATTCAACTCATGAATATGAATGTCTTTCCATTTATTTGTGTCTTCCTTAATTTTGGGGGTCAATATTTTGCAGTTTTCAGTGTACAAGTATTTTGCCTCCTTGGTGAAGTTTATTTCTAAGTATTTTTTTCACGCTTTTATAAAATGGAATTGTTTCCTTAATTTCTTTTCCTTATTGTGTATTATTCACATAGAGAAATGCACCTAATTTTTTCAAGCTGATTTTATGTTCTGCGACTTCACTGAATTTGTTGATTCA